TGGGAGATTATATGAAAATTCATTATTTATAAAGTACCTACGACCTACCTACGACCGATTGAATAATATATTTACTTCTGTTACTGAATGTTGATATTTTAGTTTTTTTATTGATTAAGCCTTGGACACTTTATTAACCTCTATATTATCTTTGGTAATTTCTCTTTTATTATTGACGTGAATATAGTATAGAAGTTCATCTGTATGAAGGTCACGGAAGATAAAACTATTCATTCCTTCCGTAAAGGGGATTATTTTATTTTGCATAAGATTTACGTACTTTACTTATAACCCTATTTACATAAGTTGGCATCAATTTGTGATAAAACTATCAATTTACAATAAGCCATCTCTAAAGAACCCCTTTTAACTTATTTTCTTTACTAAACTGAATCAATTGGTCCCATTAAAAATTCCTCACCAGTTAATTACGTCCAGAACCGTCAGCTGTGAGTGACCCTCGCGCCTCAATTTCACGCCAGTTGAGCGGTCATCAAACGCACTCAGAGGGGTGGTAATCTTGGAATAAGCAAAACCCAAACTATTGATATAGGAAATTGGTGGTTAAAAGCCAACGGTTCTAAAATAGCTTGAAAATATCAGAATTTTGAACTTTAAAGTAGGTAGGTTATCTATTTCATAATATATAACCTTATATGAGTTAGGGAAATAAAAATATAATATGATTAAAATCTCGTTCTTAAATATTTTACAACTGCATCTTTTCAAAGTGGTACGACAGTTTACAAACATAGATATATAGTACCTATATATATATATAGCACTAGAGACTCTTTAGAATCATTTCCGGGATAAAAACTATCCTATGTCCTTCCCTGAGTCTCAAACTATCTTCTTCAAATAATCTTCTTTCATCTAAATAGGTTCTGTAGTTTCAGAGCTTATTCGGTACAAACAAACAAAATCTTTCTTTTTTTTAAATATTGGTATAGATAGAATGTTTTACAGTCTTGAGTCTCATTTTTATACTCGAGAAAACTAAAATGGAGTCTACTCGCCAGCCATCATATACTGTGACTATACTGCAATTTAAAATGGTGGATATTAGGTACATGTTTCAGCCTGTCTTTTTCATTCTATAAACAATAGGGGTACGTATACCCTATTTAAAAATCATCGATTCGTTGTTTCTTTGCCGTTGAGCAAAGACAGTAAGCATACTTTATCACAAATAACATTTGTGATGATAATCTGTATAAATATTATAAATGTGAAAGTTTGTGAGTATGTATAGATGTTGTTACTCTTTCACGTCAGAACGGCTGAACGGATCTGGATGAAATATGGCACAGAGATAGATTATAGTCTGAATAACACATAGGCTACTTTTTATCCCGGAAAAATGTACGGCTCCCGAGGGATAGATTTGTTTTTGTTGTTCTAGAGGCGAACCCGAGCGAAACGAGGGTGAGCCGCTTAGTATATTATCATAGCGAAATACAACTACGACTTACGATTTATAATATAAGCAAAGTGCGTATAATTATACATATTATGTATGTATAAAATCTCACAATTTGGATAATTTTAAAACTTCTATAAACTTAGTCTTCAGTAGAAACAATTGCTTAATAGGTATTCAATTGTATCTTAAGGTTTCGTAACGAATTGCAGAATGTAATTTTGTTATTATACTAAACCATGGAAATAATACAAAAGTGAACATGGTAAATACAATTTAAAATTACAAGCGATTTTCCTTTTATTTTTCATGACATAAGCTTTCACTTAATTTTTATAGGTCCATCCACTGTTAACAGAGTAGGTACTAGCGAAGTATATTCATATAAGTATCTATTTAAAACATTTAAAATAATATAAACAGCTAAACTTTTCAATTAAAACTCGGTAAAAAGATTTCAAACGAGATAACAAAATGTCCGATGGCGCATTGACATATCTACAAAGGAATTTTGAACGGGCATAGCCCAGCTTAATTTTTTTTTGATGCAAAGCAACGATATCGTATAATGCAGCCAAAACACACGGAGGTCGGACAATGGCAACGTAAGACAGAATGGGGAGTTATATTTTATTGAAAGACCCTTTTCGTTGCTGGAGTGTTGTGTAAATAGAATGAGCGGTGGATTCGATGGAGCATAATGTGTGGAATATTGCCGTGCGTTCGCGACTGCCGACGTTACAATAAAATAATGCAAGATTTCGATATGTCTGTTTACACAAATCTTATGGAAAAGTTCCATTTAAAGGTATTATATGTATTGATTAAGATTTCTTTATTCTTTTTCTATTATTTTGGCTTGCTTAAAAATTATTCTTAAGACCATTCATAGGAATAGGAAACTTTTTTACGTATTAGGTAATATAGCTAGGCTATAGATAATCTAGCTAGATAAGAGAACCCGCTCAATGTAAACCAACCCTCTCTGCAGTAAAGCCTTAAAGGTGTATCAGATATAAATAGTGCCTACTTAAAATGTAGAGCGAGTGGTGTTTGAGAACAGCATCATTATATTACAAGAATACAATAAAAATAAGCACTTTTAACCCTCTTTATGATCGTCGCACATGTTAGTACGCAATATGCATCATGGAGATAATATACGCACAGAGTAAACAAACCTCAATTTTTTTATCTGTGAAAAGTAACTAAAATAAAACCGCGTTGCGCGGGAACGTCTAGTGTCATTAGCGGATGCAAGCATGGCGGCGCACTTAATGTTGCCAGCGCGAGGAGTTTAATTTCACCGCTGTTATTAATTTTTTTTTCTACCAATGATAATAGGGAGGTAGGTTTGTGACAATGTAATTAAAACATTAAGTGATGCTGCGTTTTTATGTCGTTAAATTATACGTTCATTGTCTTATTCGCAAAAAATAGTTGGAAAGACAGACGTTTTTTAAACAATTATTTTTAAACGTGACCAGAATGTTAGGCATGTTGCAATTTTTTTTAATTTACTGCACTACGTTTTTGTAGATTTTAATGTATATCTGACTATAGGTACCTATTAGTTTCAACCTAAACCATTAATAAAAGACATAAGATCAAGTTGAATAATTGAAATCTCAAGTTAGTTACATTTGAAATACCATAGTGTAGGTAGGTATTGTGTAGATTTATAAAAAGGAAATAAGATAAGTACTTGTCTTACTGATGGCAGATACTAATAGCGTAATTACTTTTAAGAGTATTCATATTAAATCAAATTACTTCATAAACCATTATCTAATTACAAAAGTCCGTATAAGTTATAATGTATGTATGTACACATATAAACTTTAACGTTGGTGTAGTATATTACTGTCCTATTGTGTTCATTGTAAGTTATAATGGATTTTTATAAAAATATTTTTTAACATTTAGTATCGATTTGTCAGAGATGAGATATTTTCCCGCAGTAAATAATATCCTGTGACCCGGGTAAACAGCTATCTTCTTACCAAATTTAATCAAAATCTATGTAATGGTTTTCTCGTGACTCGTTCCGACATAGACAGACAGACAAAAATTTTAAAAACTATAAATTCGGTCTCTGTATCGATAATTATAATGAATAATTCAATGAGTTTTTCAAAAAGTATTTATTGTACAGATTTGATTAAGGATTTTATTATACGTAGGTATCCGTGTTAATTTATAATATTCTAACTAATATTTTCTATTATAATTGTGAAAGTTTGTGAGTATGTATGGATGTTTGTTACTCTTTCACGCCAGAACGGCTGCACGGATCTGGATGAAATTTGGCACACTGATAGATTATAATCTAGCATAACACATAGGCTATAATACCGTCATCTTGATTCTATTATCAAATTAACTCGATTGTATCAAGTTTCAAACCAATAAGAAGGCTAAAGCTGGGTTCCGAGATTTTATGTCACTGTTAATTAAGCGTGAAACTAATAAAAGCATATCAGTACGAATTATTGCTGTTGAGTTACTGTTTTTCATAGAGTTTTACATTCATCTCAATTCTCAAGCACATAATGTGAATTTCTGTTACTTCTTACAAAATACTAACGTAAGACGAAAACTACCTACTAAGTAGGTATGTAGCGGATCTTGAATGTATCGGAAACAGTCTATAAAATTTTCCAGGCCATAAAGTACTTATGCTAAAAATTAAGTAAGATAATTTGCAAAATTTGGCAATAAATTAAACTGCATGAATAATAATTTATTACCATGCATTCGATTATTACTTAATGTTAACACCTCCAGGTAAATTTCTATGAATTAATTAAAATTCTAAGAATTCTATTGTTAACTGACACGCCAGCGTGTCCGCGGTCGTGGCGGGATTAATAGTAAATTAATTTAAACTATCTAAGCTCTATATACATACCTATAGAAAAAATAAATCTGTTCGTAGGTTTATGAAATATATTTTTGTAAAATGAACACTGAAGAGATGTTCAGCAAATAACTGCACCAATTCTGATAGAATTTTCTGTGTATTATGATTATCATATTATGATACCATATAATCATATTATTAAATTAAATATATACACTGACTTTTAAATTACTTTAAAAGTAGCAATCCCACCTTCATATGAGTAGAAAAGTTGTAGCCTTTACCCATTTATAATAAAAGAAGTATTTTCGTATTTATAATAATAATTAGTGATGATGATGCTCTCCTGACCGATTTCGGCCACGGCGGCCAATCTAATTGAAGCTAGCCAACTGCGTATGGGATAATATAGTGCACTAATGTACGTGCAAACACTAGAGTAGTCTTTATTCTTTCACTCTCAAATTAGGACGATAATTCGACACGATCGGTGAGCAATCAGTCCCAGCTTCGACGGTTTTACGTGCTCTCAGGCACGCGGGTAAAACACCGCCAATTTCCCAACTCCGGGGTGCTACTGAGACTTTCCTAACAGATAGATTCAATAATTAAACGTGACCCGATCGGGTACTCGAACCCAGGACCTCATTAGTAAATAACGAGTTAATTATTAGTAAATAACGAGTGAGAATGGTAGTTGAGCGATTGCTTTAGTTTCCAGGCTGATGACGTCAACGTCGAGTGGCATGGGCCACGTCAACAACATGGGCGGGCTGGCCGCGTGCGCAGGCCCCGACGCCAAGCCCATGCAGTTCCCTCTGGCCCAGCGGCGCAAGCGACGGGTGCTGTTCACACAAGCACAAGTGAGTTTATTTTCACCATTTTCGATATGACTTTTGTGATGGGTCATTTAATATTTGGGATTTAGTGCTTCTTAGCGTGAACTTAGATATATTTTCTTATCTTATCAACGTATAGAAATTTCTTGAAAAATATATAAATAATTCCTTAAAAACTTTCACAATGGTTAATGTAAAGTATTAATAGGATAATGAGATTCCCCATTCTAAATAACAATACTTTTTGATATCATTCTTGCAATTTTTTAAGGTGCACTTACTTAAAATTTCTTTTAAATATTCTTTGGAGTCCAAAGAAGGTCCTTATGAAGAGAAAAATTGGTAAAAGTACACGGAAAAACGTAAAAATCACATTTTTCTTTTCCTTACTACCTACTACTTTATAATTATGAACACAACCTTAAAATTAATATAAACTTGAATACATTTGTAGATTTGACACTTTCTTTTTATACGGTACCTACAGATATACAATTTGATTTTGTATGTTTATTTGTCCTTCTTTAACGTCGAAACAGAATAAGTACGTCAAAAGGTACCCAGGGTTGAACCCGAGCGAAGCGAGGGTGAGTCGCTAGTATCTAAGATAAAAATAATTAATTATTGTAAATTGTACCAAAAAACGTTATGAAGTCTTGTATAGGTACTCACTATTTTTAAAATGGCAATGAAAATTAAAAAAAAAACAAAGTCCGACACGCATATTATACGTAATGAAACAAAATCGTTCAAATTATGAATACTTATATTCGCATCACGTTTTCGAATTCGGCAAAACTTTTGTTCATTTCGCACTGCGCGGACTCTCCGGTTTATTTGCCAACCCTTCAGACGAGGGAGCGGTGTTTGACGATCATTTTACAAATAAATTTTGTAGGGGGACTTTACCTGGCTGGGTTTAATACATTCCACTTAGTATATAATATGTTATATTTAATTTTTGAGACCAATAAAATACAAAAAAATATATTAAGTTAGTAGATTGACCTACTGACTGATATATATAAATATTTGAGAATTCATTTCGCTTTTATTATACAATATAGATCAATAGAATCTTCTTAACTTCCATATTTGAATACTAGCGATTTAGACTCGCTTCGGGTGCCTAAAAGTAATCTACATGTGTTACCTAAAGTCTCTATAATAAGTATTATTAATCTTTGTACTAAACATCCAAATTCGGCCTTTTTAGCGTGAAGATACAACAAACATACAAGCTTTCGCATTTATGATAGTCGTCCAACTAAATACATTATCTACATTATAATCCATATTTTTTTTATTTGAACGAGACAGCTGAAATTGTATTGTTGTCCTATTATTCCGTCGTGGAACTTAGGGCTGCAGCAGTAGTTTTCCATGCCCTTCTATCCTTAGCTACTGCTTGGACATGGTTCCACGAGATTCCTACCCTTCTTAGGTCCGCCTCAATGGACCATTGAGGCGGACAGCTGAAATAGTAGGTTCTTATTATGTTTTTTTTTAAATAGTTTTGACCCACATACATATGTAATAGCTTGAGATTTAAACTTAATAAAAAAAATCTAATTACTAAAATAGTAAAGTTTTGTATTTAAAAAAATAGTATTGAAAATGAAAAATATTAATTTAAGGGCAGTTAAAAATCAGCAACAACAATGAACGCATGATCGTGCGGTTTATGGCGCGCTTTATTCCACGAGGGGAGGCTTGATCGCTACTAACGCGATTTTTATTGCCGAGGGTACGGAGCCGGGGTTATTAAGTTCATATAGTTAGTTTTAACCGTTTTCCGACATAATTGATAGGGATCAAATTTTATTTGGAAGCAAAATTTATCCATAATATAAACTTCTATCCCACGGAAATGGTGGGTTTGTAAAATTGATTTCGTTCTTATGACTTAAATTAGGTAATTTATTAGATAGTCTACAAAATAAACCATGGTAAGTTCTTGTACTGTTGTGAGAAAAGTTAAACAAACAATAGTGAAAACATCATTTAAATTTTAAAATAAGAAAATGAGTCTACTTTGTGATTATCTTTTATAACGGTTTACGTAGTTTTTCTACTTAAAACGTGTTTAGCTAATAAGCACGTGTTTCAAGAACCTCGTAACTTTGAAAACTGTTAACACATCCCTTTAAAAATATCTAGAGAGGCATTTCAGAAATCCTAGACTCAACCTCTTTTGTGTCATAGGTTAAAAACTCGCTTATACACCTATGATAATACTTCGTGAAACATTTAAAAACAATACCTTTCTGTAACAATGGATAGGTGTTGCCATGTGTGCGTTGAAGGGGAGATTTTCAGGGAATAGAATTAATTACATGGAGCGAACGTGGCATATCACCCCGGGGCCCGGGGGCGGGGCCTCCACCGGAAGTGGGAGGGGCAGAGGGAGGGCCCCTCGAAATTAAATAGCTGTGTTAACGTAATCTGGCGTCAGGTAACGCGGAATGTTTAATTGCGTGTATATTGTATAAAGTTATATATTCATAATGGCATAATGTTTGAGGATGCTTCTTAAGAATATCACGTTTGTCGCATAGTGTGGCTTAATACTTATAAATTATAAATGTCAGAGGGTTAAAACTTAAAAGGGTAAATACTAAATACCGAATCAAAATTTTCCAAAAAAAACAAATTTCAATCACGCGTTTAGTGTTTTTTATTAGAAATATTTAGACATAAATGTTTTGTTGTTTGTATTTATTTGCTTGTACTAAAGATACCTACCAATATAAGATTTTATTTAATTTAAATACAAAAGTTTTAATATAATTAATAATACTGTTAAATTACAAAATGTCGATTTATAATAGATTTATTACTAGCGATCCTCGTTTTCCTCGGTTACGTTCTTAGGTGTCTATTTGCCATTTTATTGCTTTCTTTGAAGCCAGTTAGGCAGTGCGCGCCGATAAAGCAATTCGTTCATTATGATTTCTGACCTAAAACATTTTTATCGGAATAAAAAAAAACCTATAACACTCGGTAAAATAACTTCCTATTAGTAAAAGAACTTTCAGAATCAGATCAGTAGTTTCAGAGATTAGCTCCTACATCCAACAAACTTCGAACCAAACTTTACCTCTTGATAATATAAGCTTTTTATTATACCTATTAGATGTTTATATTTCTTAATACAAAATTAAGGCAAATTCAAAGATATTATAAGAAAAACACAATATAATAAGAATATAAATGAAACAATGACTAAATGAAAATGCATGTGAAATGTTAATATGAACATTAAATTAATCTATGAATTAATTATCTACCGACTCTTAAACCCTTTTGCCGGCGGGAAACAGCTTCGCTCTCTTTTTCGGATGAAGCAACTTATAGTTTGTCATTGTCACATTGTTACTTACGTACAAGTGAATCATGAAGAAGAAAAATAATAATATTAACGACAATGTGATGTAAATTAAAGAAATTATTCCTGTAAGGTTGGTTGCATTTTTATATATTGAGTGTTTTAATAGAAAATAATATATTTGATTAATTTGTAATGATTTATGTATAAGGCATTTACTTATGTGACCTTGGCCGATAGGAATGTGTTTTAAAAAAAATATAAAGGGCGCGAATATTCATTTGTTTTCCCGCGCTTTTGCACAGAGATGTCGGTACTCGGTACCACCATGTAGTGACTAGGCACAAATTGCTTGTAATACTGAAAATTATGATTATAAATTATGTTACTCATTGACGATTATAAAAGTACTGAATATAAAAACATAAGCAAGGAATATCTCGAAGTTTTATTAGTGACTTTACATACTTTATTTTATAAATGGTCATAGATACGTTTTATTACTTGAATCTTCTTTTCAAAAAATATAATTCTTTAATTTTACCGCTCTTACGTTATGTGATTTAAATAAATCCTATGAAATATTTAGCATTTTGCCATATGACACTGATATAACTAATCATAACTTATAATAACTATACCTTCGAGACATCTAACACCTCAGTCTCTCCCGTGACCATGGATGCTGTAAAGCATTCGAAACGTCGGGAACCAAATATGAAAATAAATTCGCGAAATAATCCGAAAAGATATTTTTATTTAAAATAACTTATAACATTAAATTTATAGATACCTACATATATTTTTTGTCAACAGGTATACGAATTAGAGCGGCGGTTCAAGCAGCAGAAGTACCTTTCAGCGCCTGAAAGAGAGCATCTCGCGTCGCTCATACACCTAACTCCTACGCAGGTAAGTTTGAGTTAGAATATAGATTCTAGGTAAACAAAAGATTTTTACAATACCTATAGAAATACTTGGATATTAGCTTTTGGAAGCTCTCGATGGCATGCTTCCTCTATAATATATAAATCACATGAAACCTTTGTTCCGTTGAGGTGTGAAAAACAAGCAAACATACGCCCTTTTGCATTTTCAGGTCAATCTATGTTAGATATGTAAGGAGTACTAAAAATTCCTTCTTAGTGCGATTCTATACAAGTGTCTCCCGTGACCATGATTGCTGTAGTGTAAAACATTGGAAACGTCGTGTCGGGAACCGAAAATTAAATTGGGAATAAATCCGTAAGGATAGTTTGAACCCTTTGTTCCGTTGAGGTGTGAAACACAAACATACGGATTTTCAGGTCAATCTAGTTTAAGTATCTTAGGAGTTGTACTAAAAATTCCTTCTTAGTGTTATTCTACACAAGTATCTCCCTCCTCGTACCATGATTTCTGTAGTGGAAAACATTCGAAACGACGAAAACCAAAAATTTATTTTATGTATATCGGAAAATATCAAAAAGAATAGTTTTACTTAAAATATCAAATATTTGCGCAAATCTAAGAAAGTATTAGATATAATACGTAGGTAGGTATCTACCCTAATTTCTTATAAAAATTAATTAAATAAATATATAATTTACTTAATAACTAAGATAGATCGCAGTAGGTACGTAAATCATGTGTTTTTAAATCATGAATAATAACAAAGTCTGCTAGTAAGGGAAGGAAATTAAAAGAATCTTTTTTATTATCAAGTATCATATATTCAACTAAGATTAAGATTAAATTGCACTTCTCGACTATTCTTCCCTGATTCTTCTAAGCAGAAGTGCATTCCGAGGTAAGTAGCTTCCCGACGGCGAAAAATTATTCTTATGTATACTTACTAAATAATCTTCTTAACAAATAAATATATATGTATTTTTAATTAGTATTTTAATATTTTCTACAACAAATATACAAATCGAGGGTTTACTGCGAAAATCTTCTAAACTACATTTTTGGCAAAAATGAGTTAAATAAATGAAAATTCTTATCTTTTCGAACTCTGTATACTGGTAACCGGCTAAGTTTTACGTTAAATAAATAATTTAGAAGATATAACAAAGTTAAAAATTGTTATATACAACAAATCGTTCAATACTCGATTGCAAAAATATCATAAACTAACTGTACTACATCACTCATGAGTTTCTTTATTTCATACACGTCTATGACACATACCTATTTACTTAGACGAAACAAAAATAAAATCTTTTTATTATATATCCTAACTTTCGACTACTACAGTATTTAAGGCCTACAAAAATTATAGCATTTTATTAGGTATAAACTTTTAAAACGCAATAACTCAAAACTAACTTGACTGCACTAAGCTGGTTTTCGCAGTAAACCCTCGAAATATACCTATACATTTCTAGCTATTGCATTCATTGAATTGGGTACTTTTATTTGTTTTACATAAAACGTTGTTATGAGTTTATAGGAACAGCTATCAAGAGACTGATTGCTTGTTCTTAGAATACAACATTACTTTATGCAATGTTCTTAGAAGGATATGCAGAGGGCGGGGCGGAATCGCTACGTCCTGCTTACTCTATGGGTACCTATCTTACACTACCGTTCTCATAATATATACCTATAAAAACATTTAAAAATTACATTTTTTTTAAATATAAATTGTTAAATTAGTTTAGTAAATATTTTTTTTTATTTTGAATCATTTTTAAGTTAAATTAAAAAAATAATACCTTCTTACTGTGAATTCTGGTCATCTAAATCTAGCGTGTCTATGTGATAACCATTAGTAAATAAAATTATCTATTCAAATAAAATATCAAATATGTTGTATCGAAGCTATAAATAGGATAGGTTTTTTTTTAATTCTTAACAGTGCCTATATTGTAGAACAATATGCGTATTTCTACAAAGCTTCCGCTGTCCGTCCGTCTGTCAGAAAGCTGTATCTCATGAACCATAATAGGTAGAGAGTTGAAAATTTCACAAAGTATGTTTTTCTATTGCCATTATAACAATAAATAAGAAAAATAAAAAATTCAAGAAATATATTTTCCTTATCGATCATCGAAGTTAATATACTACATAGGTACATAGAATAAAAATCATATTAATAAAAAGTATCTTCATGTACACTAGTACAGAACCCTTCGTGTGCGAATTCGACTCGCACTTGTTAACACACATATTATGTACTAACATTGCCCGCGGCTCCGCCCGCGTTCAGATGACCAAAAACCAAATTCTTATATTTTACATATTAGTATACTCTTACATTGCAGTTTTTGTATTTTTTCTCGGAAATGAGATATTTTCCCGCGGGTAAAAAGTATATGTTGACCCGGATAACCAGCTGTCACCATACCAAATTTCATCAAAATTCCTCCAGTGGTTTTTCTGTGATGCGGTAATAGACACACAGACAGACAAAAAATCTAAAAACTATAGATTCGGTCTCTGCATCGATAATAATGTTAATTTCAATAATATTTTCCAAAAAAATATCTAATGTACAGATTCAGCTTAGTTACAATTTTATTATATGTATAGATAGATGTACATTGTATATAGTCAGTCTTCGTTACTTTCTTTTGTATATCGCAAATATAATATTTAAACAAAGATTTTGAAATGCAGTAAATGCTCAAACATGGTGAATATTTGTCTCGGTGTCAAGTAGTCGTAGCAGAGGTCGTCGATTTATGCGGCTCACAATGAATGTTAATAACAGCTGTGTTTTACATTTAACGTTTATTTTTAAGCACTTACAGTAGAGGTGTAAGTCTTTTAGATTTAAATCAAACGAGAACAAATAGTAAGATTGTTTTATAAATGTTTTTTTAATCTGTGTTAATAGAAGCTGACATTGAAATCGATAGGTGGATTTAAAGGAAGCAATTATTCCATTATTTATTCCCATATTATTTTTGTATCTTGTATTTATTTACTATTACTATTTAAAGTGTGTGTATACAATAATTTTAATTTTTTTATATGGTTTGGAAAAATTTCAACTTTTAATAGTATCCAATTAAAAATATCGCCAATCTATACATATACTAAAATTGTTACTAAGTCGAATTAGTACATTAAATATTTTTCGGAAAATCTAATTGAAATAGACATTATTATCGATACAGAGTCCGAATCTATAGTTTTTAGAATTTTTGTCTCTCTGTCTGTCTGTCTGTTACCGCATTACGAGAAAACCACTGGAGGGATTTTGATGAAATTTGGTATGTATGTATGGTGACAGCTGGTTATCCGGGTCAAAATACAGGATACTTTTTACCGCGGGAAAATATCTCATTTCTGAGAAAAAATACAAAAACTGCAATGTAAGGGTATACTAATATATACGAGTAAAACCTAAGAATTAGGTTTTTGGTCATCTGAACGCGGGCGGAGCCGCGGGCAATGCTAGTTAAGCTATATCCATATAGGTTATAGAAAGTGCTGTCTCTCTCATACCATTCACTTATAGCTTAAGAGCGATATTCTAACAACAGTTTTTTTTTATATTTCTTTAATATCCCTCCTATACAAACGGTAGCCGCGAGCGTGATTTGTCTCTGTCAATAAAAATAGACAAAGCCACTTTTTACTCTATCAACACATTGTCATACAACTGCTAAACACAGTGGGGCGTAGCGGAGTGCAGGCGACAGACAACATAAATCACATTACAATCGCTGCCACAACGCCTCCGGCTATCGCGTCCCGGCCCAATTACAAACCGCCCACGATAGAATACACGCAATAAAAATACTTAGGGAGACGCGCCTCAGGCGACATGTCCTACTGCTTCCTTTTATTTTCACTGGCAACATGTAAGATGTACAGGTTAGCTCGTTAGAGTTGGCATCTTGTTTTACGCTCCGACAAATCGGTTCGAGGGTCGCTTTGATATTGAAGAATATTTCCCTTGTCTGAATTTTCGAGTACCGTCTTCAAATTAGTGAACATTGCTCTTTGAACCTTCTGTGAAGGATGTACTTTGATTTTTATTTATTGAGTTTTAAAAGTAACATTTTTAATTTAAATATGTAGCGTCGTATATCCTGTATAGTTTAAATATTTGTACAAATACGCCAGTTTGAAAGTACCATTATTAATATCTGTCACCGGCACGCGACCCATTTTCCCACATCGCGCGAGCGAAATTCAAATCCTTCATAACAAAGACTCAATAATCTCGGCCGTGTCAATATAAATTTCATAAACTCGGCGTAACCCCAACAAAGGCCGCAAACATCCATGAATAATCGCCATTTTGAGGGTGTCAACACCATTTACGACATTAGAATTCCCGCCAAAACAAACGTCAGAGTGACGTTTGACTTGACGGAGACAATGGCGGCGGAGGCGTGGGGGCGCGATAATACGACGATTATAATACGGTGTGCATTGTGATATTAATTGGTTCGCACGATCTGCTTTGGTCATTGTTTGTTCACAGGTTGATTGGTTCTATCGATTACACGATTAACCTGTTGTCCTTGTTACATGATATGCATTAAGGTAAACCCTTTGTATCTCTATAGCCTATGAAATACAATGTGGTAGTGTTTACTCAGTTTGGAGAAACGGAGATTGATGTATAGACATATTAAATTGTAATCACTTCCTAGTCGGTTAGTATAGTTATGGCGCTTAATCTTTAGTGCATGTGTAAACACTGTTCACTCCCTATTTCTCTAATTTCTCATGAGACTAGAACAGTATAAACTGCAAACCCTGTAGAGATTCATTGGTCCTTATTGGAACTACTTGATATAACATATTTTACTTTGTCTGTCGTATAAAATCTGTTTTTTTAGTTATTTAGAAAATAAAGCTGTAAACCAATAAGATACTTAGTGAGGGCGTAAGTATTCGCGTACTGCAATTCTAGTTAACCCTGGGCATCTTTTAGTCAATACAAAAGTCCACTCATTTACTTATGT